TATAGAGAACTTGAATATACATTCATTCATTGTTGCACATTTTCCTCCTTACTCACCCCCACCCCCAGTTCACTTTTCTCTTTGAAAATTAAAAACTCTTTCATTATTGTACAATCTCCCCCCTTCCCAGTCTATGCAGCGCTTATTCTGGACTATAGTCATGCAAATAATATCTAATCATATATTCCTTTTAAGCAGTTCTATTCCTCATCTATTTCAATGCAATATACATTATTTATCCCCTTTTTTCTTAGTTTCTCCCAAACTCCTGTGTCAGTCCTGTTTTATAACAGTGACGTTATGCAGTACTTGTCCTTTTGTGACTGAGATATTTCATTCAGAATAATGTCCTCCAGCGTCACCATTTTGTGTAATAGTTCATGAATTCTTTGTTTTTCAATGCTGCATAATATTCCATTACAAATATACCACAGCTTTCTATCCTTTTGTTTGTTGATGGGCACTTGGGTTGTTTCCATCTCTTTGCTATTATACACAACACAGCAGTAAACATGGGTGTGCATATATCTGTTTGGGTGGCAGTTCTGTTTTCTTTAGGGTATATTCACCATAGTGGAATTGCTGTGTCAAATGGTATTTGTATTTCCAACTTTTTGAGAAAGTGTCATACTGCTTTCCAGAACGTTTGCACCATTTTACACTCCCACCAACGGTGAATAAGGGTTCCAGTTTCTCCACAACCTTACCAGCATTTGTTGTTTGCTGCTCTGTTGAATTCTGCTATTGTTATTGGGGTGAAATGATATCTTAATAGTTGTTTTGGTTTACATTATATAAAGATATTTGATAACCTATAAGGTAGCTAAAAACAAAAATAAATGAACAAATAGTAAAAAAAAAAAGGCCCTTAAGTAGGAAATAATTGATGTCTTTGAGCTGTGGTGCTGGGGAAAAGTATTGAATATACCACAGACTGTTAGGAGAACAAACAGGTTCGTCTTAGAGAGGGTGAGACCAGGCTGTTCCTTTGAGGAAAGGATTCTGAAGCTTTTTTTTTAAATCCTCTGGACATGTTGCAAGGAGGGGCCAGTCCTTGGAGACAGATAACATGCTTGAGAGTGTAGAGGGACAGTGTAAGAGAGGAGACACTTGATGAGCTGGATCGACTCAGTGACTGGAGTAATGAGGTTAGCTGTGTCAGAGACAATAGGGTCTTCTCAGGATAGAGCAAGATTCAGAGCTACCATACATAGGATTGTTAAGAATCACAAGGAATTCAGCAGCACATAACAGCAACACAATGTATAAAAGATGATTAACCTCACTTGACATTAAATGTACATATGTCTTCACAATAGACTAACATACGGCTCACAGAAAGAGTAAAACTGCAGTACTAAGGGTGTTTTTTCAAACATCCTTATGCATGGGCACAAGAATAAGATAATCCCTGTTGAAAAGTCACTTCTTTCAAAGACATATCTTTTTTGTTTTCTGCAGTTCATGGGATATTCAGTGTCCTTCTCCAAACTTTACAAAATAAATAAACAAAACAAAACAAATGCAAAGTGCTCCTTGAAGGCAAGGATGATGGCAAAGCTTCATCTCACATGTTTTGGACATGTTGCTAGGAAAGGCTATTCCTTGCAAAAGGATATGATGCTTGGAAAGGTGGACGGTCAGCAAAAGACAAGAAGACTCTCAACAAGATGGACTGACCTAGTTTTAGGAAAGTCTGCTGTCTGGAGCCTCTCTAAAGTCCTGAAGAGCAATGATGTCAGTTTAAAGACAAAGGTGCACCTGATTCAAGCCATAATCTTTCCGATCATCTGCTATGCATCTGAGAGCTGAACAACGAATAAAGATGATAGGAGAATTGATGCCTTTAAGCTTTGGTGTTAGTAAAGAGTACTGAATATCCCATGGACCGCCAAAGGAACAAAGAGCTACATCTTGAAGAAAGTGCGACTAGAATGCTCCTTAATGGCGAGGATGGTGAAGCTTTGTCTCACATACTTTGTGCATGTTATTAGGAGGGGTTATTTCTGGAAGAGGGATATCATGCTTGGAAAGGTGGAGGTTTAACCAAAGAGAGGAAGACCCTCAACCAGATGGATTGACACAGTGACAGCAATGGGTTCAAGTGTGTCAGAGATGATGAAGATGGCACAGAATAAGGCAGGGCTCAGATTGGTTGTTCAGGCATCTAACAGCAATATGATAAGTCAAGTAGGAAAGGCAAAATGTAAAACACATTTATTTAGATGACATGTAGAAAGATAAATGAGAAATTGATAACAGCAGCTGCTTCTGGGTAGACAGTTGACAAACTGAAGTTCAGGGTACAGAAATTTGTTTTCACACTTTCTTATGTTGCATTATCTGGGATATTTTTATCACCTATATGTATTACGTTTTCATTAAAAATTTAGTAATTACAATCACCACCCCCAAACGGGGGGGGGAATCATTAAAAACAACAAGAACTCATTGTAATTCTGTATGACAATCCCTTCACTGAGTGACATGTGAGCAAGCCGCTTGAATGGCAAAAAGGCTCGCTCAAATCCTGTCGCTGAATGGTTTATGCTGGGCACTGTGTTAGGCACATCTTGTTCCAACCTTTCAACGGGTTAATGTTCAATCTTCGCGATTCATCGGTGAGGCAGCATTCTCTCTATTCTTCCACAGATGAGGTTTCTGAGCCTCAAGTGACCCAATGAGTAAACACAAAGTTCAAGGCCGAGTCCCCTTACTGATTCTTCACTTCCCACCACTCTTCATTTGACACGCAGGTATAACAATCTAAACACAGTAGAACAAACTCCTTCCCAGGCTCAAAAGAGACTGGGCTGCTTGTCTGTCCTCACACTTCAGCTTTACTACTGATGTTACATTTTCCTACAGCAGGGCTTCAACTCTTCAGGTTTGCAGCCAATTTTCTTTCCCCCTTCACACTATAGAGTTACCAGCTGGGATCCAACAGGTTTGAGTTTCCCACAGCTCCTCAGGTGTTAACTTTATTCCAAACTTTATAGGCAAGACAGGAGGCTCTGGTGGCATCGTTCTTAAGGAGTCGTGCCCCCTAATGAGCAGGCTAGCCTGACCCTAGAGACTCATCCAAGGGCCCTCTGGATAGCTAGAGCGAGAATTCCGAGTTTGCAGGGAAAGGCATAAGGGTTTCCTCACTTCCCAGGTCCCGGAGAACCGGAAAGTCCGCGCCAGCGGGCGGGCAGGCCAGCAGGGGCGCACGGGGCTGGGACGCGCTTACCCGCCAGGCCAGCTCCAGGTCGAAGTCCCGGGCGCGCAGGAAGCGCAGCAGGAAGGAGTCGGCGAGCGGCAGTGCTGTCCGAGGCACGCCCGCCTCCTGCGCTCGGCGTCGCAGCTCCGCCAGGCCCGGCTGCAGCAGCGGCGAGGTGTCGGGCAGCGCGTTGAGCCGCTGGCCCTCGGTGAGCCCCGGCCTGCCCTCTGCCATCCTGCTCTTGGCTGTCGCTGCAGCGCTCGGGCTAAAAGCTCGTGCCCTGCGCCGCCTCGCCGGCTCCTCCTTCGTGGCGGCGGCCCAGCTCGCATCCAGCCCCTCTGCGGCCCGCCCGCCCCTGGCCCTCCGCGGGCCCTGCCGGCCCAGCCCCTTTACCCCACACGTGGACAGGGCACTGGAGCTCCCACCACCGGAAGGCCACGGTGCTGTACCCGTCTCAAGCTGTGTTGGACGCCAAAAAGAAGATGTCAAAAGAGCTCGCGGATCCTCTTCACAGTCAGGAGAGATCTGTTTTTAAAAAGCGCACTGTACTAAATTAACCCCTCCCTTCTGCACCCGCAGTTCCCAACTTTCGTCCCAACTCCGTTTCTTTCCATCACTCCATCCCTCTATGCTCTTGAACCTGGAAGGATCCCCCATCAGCACTATTTGGAATCACTGGGTTGCTTTTACCATTGAGCCCTCCACTTCCTCCTCCAGTGCCAAGACTCCAAATGCACTCCAGATTCCGTCTCAAAAGATAGTAGGTCCTCTAACACGTCTCTTCCAATTGACCACCTTAATACACTCACAGCTCCTTCCTCCGAATTCAGGCAAACTCCTCTAGTTCCTGGTACCTGATCCTCCTGGTGACCTCTACAAGTGTGTGAACGGCAAATGTCAATGAAATTCCAAACCCATCACAAATTTCATTTCCTCTACTGCGCTCCACTACTACTGGATCAAGTTCCTTGATGGCAGCATCTAAGTGTGGGTAATGAAGATGAAAAAGGGAAAGTAAAGGAAAAATTGAAGGCTTGTTAAATTGACTTTTGGTTGCTCTCGGTGGAGTGCCTGGTGCTCTGGGGTGCTCTGGTGGTAAGAATTTGAGCTGCAACCCCAAAAGTACGAGGTTCAAATCCACCAGCTGCTCCAGGGGAGGATGGGCAGAATCCTCCCATAAGATTAACTGCCTCTGAAAACCCGCTGGAGGGCCAGCTGTAGGTCGGTTCTGACTCAACGGTACTCAACAACATACCGTGAGACCTTGGAGCTCTGGTGTCACACTGGTAAGGAATTGTCCTGCAAACTTAAAGGCATGAGGTTAGGATCCCCCAAAGGGGAAAGATGGGCGGTCAGTGTCGTTTACTGTCGCTAAAAACCCTCTGGAGAGTAAGCTATGACAAGGTTCCTATTCAAGATACATAGCAACAACATTCACGCATCTGAAAGTTTTGGTGGCTTAGTGCCAAGGAGTTGCATTGTCAACCCAAAGTAATTAAGTTTGAACTCACCAGCTGTTTTGCGGAAGAAAGATGGACAATCTCCTCCCATGTGATTCGCTGACTCTGAAAGCTCAAAGGATCAGCTCTGAGTTGGTTCCAATTCAACACCAGTGAAGAGTTTTTATTTATCCATATATCTGCTTATTAAAACTATGAGAGAGAGAACTGTTTAAAAGGGATATGTGATTAGGTATTATCGTCATGACAGGAGTCCAGAATGAAGGCTGCACAGTGGA